GGTGCCCTCCCTACCGCCCGCCAGGGCTAGTGGCTAGTGGCTGAATGCTAGACTGCGAGTAAACCTACCATTACATGTCTTGGCTTTGCCCTGAGGGGCCATAATTACATCTGGAGGTGACAGAGGCACAGACAACTGTAGTATTACTTGCACTCTCCCTGGGAAGGTCATGCACCCTGCACTGTGTACGTGTGTCTTGACCAGGTTTGGGCAATGCAGCTGAATTGTGCAAGCTCAGGAGTGACAAAACACTCTCTGTGTGCCCCAAACCCCAAGAGTGCTTTTTTAGATCTGTAATCCTCGATCTGGTCCACGTGACAAATTTTTGCTTGCCTAGCTGTGAAAATCTATGAAAAGATCATGCTCTCAAGCTCACATTGCTGGGCCAGCAACCTCGCCTCTCCCTCCCCTCCCCTCCTGAGCCACTGGACACCCCTGTGCTGACAGAAGGCCTCTTCCATTGTGTCAGCAGTGGTGTAGCTAAGCCAACAGGCAAACCTCTTTTGCTGCTGCCATGGACTGCACCTCTGGTAGGGGGCTCTGCCAACACAGCTCTGCAGCTGTAGCAGCAGCAGCACCCCTTGATGTAACCCAGCCTCCCTGCTTCTGAGACACTCTTGGGGCTGCCATCCGACAGTCAAGTCTTTTCATCGGTGGAAGCCAGTGCCCGGAGCTTCTGAAGCAGAATGCTGTGACGATGGTAGCTATTTTATCGATAATGCGGGCATCTGGTCCTCCCCCTCCTCCACTTCTTTTTTATCTGTCCCCCGAAGCAGTAATGCATATGCAATAGTTGTTCTTAAAACTCCAGTCAACACAAACCCAATGGCTCTGATGTCTCTTTACGCACTATTTTAATATTTTAAAACCCACTCTGACTTCTTTGGTCTCCCCCTGATTCCATATTTTTGCTCTTTTGAAGCCAGTTTGCTTGCTAGCCACGGAGACAAAGAGGAGAAGGAAGAGCAGGGCAAAGTATAGCAGCTCATGAAGGATTAAAAGAAGGGGAGTTGGGAATACTTGTGCAAGGCATTTTTGGCATAAATGCCTGGGGCATAAAGACTGGCTGGTTGGGTCTAGACCACTTGGCCCAGCGATCCTCTTCTAGAGCGGAGTCTTCCCTGTCCTGATTTTCTGAAAGAGTTTTTGTAGAGGGACAGTTGTGCTATTTAGCCACATGCTAATGTTTTAAGATCCCTTTTCCAAATCCTGCCTGTGCTTTCAGGCCGTGCCCAAGCAAGCTTTTGCCCTCCCTGCTTTTTGCATGTCCTCTCTGGTACAAGATCACAGACATTTTCCTCTCTTTGAATAGCCCTTGGCAGACAGATTCTTTCGGTCAGCCCTTTTGCGTATCCTGTCAACAGCCCAGTAGGACCCCTGCAATGGCAAATGATCCTTCTGCTTTCTTAACCCACATCCCAAATGTTTCCACATTCTTTTCTAGGTGACTTGAGAGATAAGGGCTTTTGAACACTCAAAGGAGTCTCAGCATGTGATACAAATTAATTCCATTTCATACCTCGTATTTCTAAGGCATGCACTTTCAAAATCATTCGGTGGTTTGTCTGCACCTTCTGTGCTTTTGCATCCACTTGTTATGATAGAAATAACCTGATAGAAATAACCATTGCATTGAAGATTCAGACTTTGATCCTTAGTCTGTAGATTTTCAGTGACCAAATCTTGCTTTAAACAGACAAAAGTGGCCACCACCTTTGCAGCATATGAAGCTATTTCCTTCTGGACATCTCCATTAACATACA